TCTTTTCATTTATTTTTTATCTATATACAAAAAAGATATTTGCAAGAAATTTTTTATTTCTTTGCTAATAAAGTCTTAACACTATTTCTAAATCAGCTTAAGTTTTACTTCAAAAGATACTTTCAAATCCTTTTTCTTGTTTATATTTATTTTCAAACAAAAACTTGGCTTTTTGTGATCTAGAAAAGTCAAAAAACACCTTCTCTACCAACAACAAAAAAGTTCTACAAGAAAGAAAAACTAATAGTGTAATACTTGAAACCTTTTATATTGAAGCACATCTATAAAAGTTTCTAGCAGTGAGAGGCAATGAATATCAGGCCATATTATAAGATTCTGTTCACTATATCCTTTCTCTTATAATCATCCAAAATTTTTTTAGTTTTCTGAAGAATTTTGCCTATCTTAGTTTGACTTTAAATTTTAAGTGATACAATCTATTGCAAAATATAATTAGCAAATATGAAACACATTAGTAGCTGAATATAAACATTATCTACTGGTCACTTTACATATTTCAATGATGTATTAATGAAAGAAAGAAAATCTATTGATGTGAAATCCTCCATTTCTTTAAATAAAGTTAACCAAAGCCAAAAAATCATAAGATCATTAGGACAGGCATTAAATTTCCTAGATAATAAAAAGATAGTTATTTGTTTAAGCTGAGATCTTCAACTTCTTATTATCTCAGTTAGGCAAAGTACACAAAGAAGATTATTTTCTTATTCTGGTCAGACAATAAAATTGAAAAGTAGAAGACTGTAAGTTACTACCCTTCTCTAGGATTGAAAATGTATTTCTTCAGATATTGTATAATGATATTTAATCAATGAGGATCTTTACTATTCTATAAGAACCTCTTATTATTGCAAGGCAAAAAGACTATTAGGGAATTCAACTTTTTGAACAATAGAAGATACTTATTAGTAAAATTCCTTTAACTAGGCATGACTGCTGGATAATATTGATAATTATACAATATGACTGAAAGGTCACATAAGAACTTGGAATTCATAATAAGTCATTGCTTAGTATAGATATATACAAAATCAATACTGAAAGAAAGGAAGTAACAAGCAAGACACTGGATTTGAATAGGTAATAAGTATCTCAAATGATCACAAGAAAATAATCAAGATCATAAATAGATAAGTTCTTCAGATAGTTAGGAAGAAAAAGAATATCTCAGAAGAGTTGATTCTTAATAAGAAAAGATTTTTAGTAAAAGTATTTTGAAAGACATGAAGCACTTTTATTTATTTTTTTTTTTCATTTATTCTTCATGTATGTATATTTGTGTATTTTTAAATATTTCTCTTCTTTTTATTTTTTCTTTTCCCTATTGTAGTTTCTTGAAATAAGTTCCTTGAAGGATAATAGGTAGCAACAATTTGCTGACAATAATGTATAAATTAGGAGGGTCTTTACCCAAAACTTATTCCATAGTGAAATATTGTTCCCAAGGTTGCACTTAAAGGCTTAAGCTCAATTGAAATTTGAAAGTAGTTGACAAGTAAATCAACATGAGATTTAATTTAACCATAATATAATTGCCCAATGTATCTCTAATGATTTTCTTAAAAATTAATAAATACACTATATTGACCTAACCATGGGATTTAAAAAAAATAAAAATAAAATAAAAAAAAATAAAGATTTTTTAAAAAAATTTTATTTATATAAAAAATTAATATAATTATTAATTGATTAATATCTTGTTTAAAATTAATAATTAAGGATTAATAATCAAGAATTAATAATCAATAATTAAAAATTAAGAATTAATAATCTATAATTAATAATCAAGGATCAATAATAAAAATATTATTTAATATACTAAATATTTAAGGCTGATCTCCAGTTTTTTTAAAAATTTCCTTTTTTGGTGTCTAATTTTTTGATGACATCGATATTATCAACATCAACACAATTTCCGTCGAAATATTCTTTAATTATTTTGGGGCTGTAACATTATTCCATCCAATTTTGTTTGAAAAATCCCGAGATAATTTTTGTACTGTATATCCATATCCTTTATACCTGAATTATTGAGACTCTCCTTCGTCAAATCCAATACTCCCCAATACGCAGGGCTAATGAATAGAATGAATAGAATATTAGTAAGCAGGATGAAATTGTGTTTATAATGATGGTTTCTAAACTTACGTCAAAGCCTTGCGAGTTTTTGGTATCTTTTTTTGATATTCGCTAAATGCTTCGATTATATTTGTATCAAGGAACTGTTATTAATGATAGAATAATAAATTTGTTGAATACTTATTCATAAAATATTTATAACAAAATTTACCTCTGATGTTTTGTATTTAATGTTTACTGATGGCAATCGAACTTCTTCCAATGCGAATTTTCATCAACTTCTCGATAATTGACTCCTCATTTGACTCATTAATATCATCATTTATTTTTTTGAACAGATCATCCGACTGGTTGTCTTCTCTTATAGCGTGCTTGTTGCGATTCTTTTCATCTTGAGGTTGCACCGCTGATATTGCATCAGGAGAACTTTATATGGAACGGAATTAAAGTTAGATATGGCTTTCAGAAAAAAACTCGCGTGGCCTTTAATGAAATACCTTTTGCTTCCTAAATCTCCGATTTCATCGATAATATTTGTCTTAATTTTCGTCTGAAAATTTAAGAAACAAAATAGTAAGCAATAATTGTAACATTTATAATAATATCATCTCAACTTCGAATCACCTTGGTTAACAGTTCACTCAGCGTTAAACGAACTTTTGAATCCGCAATTTCTTTGCTCCGGTCCCAGATAATATCAATAATTTCTGCCGATTTCTTGCACTGTAAAAAAGATGGTAAAAGCAGTAAGAACTTTAGGAAATCCACAGTATTATTTTTTGTGCATGTCCGCAAGCAGGATGTACACGCGAAAGAATCACATAGTGAGTGAAGCCATCGCGTTTCTCTTCCCCATCAGGTTAGAAAGCACCCAACCTTCCTCGGAAGCACCGAGGGGCGTAGTACACCCGGTCAACATAAACACGCGAAAGAATCACAATGAGTGATGCCATCGCGCTTCTCTTCCCCATCAAGTTAGAAAGCACCCAACCTTCCTCGGAAGCACCGAGGGGCGTAGTTAAAAGCTGACAAACATTCTTGTCTGACGCTCCTTCTTTCACAATAAACTAACCTTTTAATGATTTAAGTAACAACACTGCTTTTTCTGCCACCCTTTGATCAGATGCTTTAGTGAGAATTTTCAACTCGTTAGCTAAAGAAGTGCGGGCTCGATCTTGCTTTTGATGGAGAGTTGGATTTTGTTGGATCCAAAGTATATCGAACGACTCAACAGACCAATCCTGAAGGCTAGTACTCTACTCTGAAAATCGGAAGTTGCAAAGCAGTCTAGAATATTTTGCGTGCTATAGTCGACATAAAAAGGGACAACCCACCTTTATAATAAAGATTTGGCGGAATGAGAATCGTATCCTGTGTAGTGTTAGGCTCTGACATTTAAATTTGGTGAACCGATCAGTTTTTTTATTACGTGTTTACGACCTTATATTTGAGAAATTTGTTGCACGCGTTATACATTCTTTAGAATTGGCTCTAAATTACAATTCTCGCTAAAACCCAATATGAATCTCTTCCATTCTCATCATATACATCGCACGCAAAATATGATGAATATAAATAACTTATCCAATAACCCAGGCCTATGGGCACACTTCGAGCATCTGTAAAAATCTTTATACATAAACATCTAATATTGGTCGGTTAACTGATAGTTAGTTAACCGAGTATAATAAATTATTCCTAATTTGTATAAATATTATAAAAGTAACAATGTATAATTACTAATAAAAACAATGCCAGACTTCTTAAATTGTTAAAATTGGGTATTACTTTTACTATAACTATATAGTACATACTGTATATAATATCATAGTGAACATTTTTAATGTTATGATAACAATGATATAATAACATGGATATCAAAGTCAACCATTTTCAAAAAATAACAAATGAGTGATAAAAAATAAAAGAAAACATTTTTTTATGGATCATTTGAATTTCTATTCATATAATTCACATATCAAAACTTTTGAACTGAAATTTATAAAAACCATTTCTTCTTTAATTTCTTCTTTTTCTTCTTTAATTGATACTACACTTTCAAATAAGTGATTTGAAATTCATAAAAATAATTTTAATGAGAATAGTTTATCATCCATATTAATTAAAAAAAAAACATAAAATATATATATGTATTGGATATGAAAATGGTTAATAAAAACAAAAACAAATGGATCAGAGAATACAAAATTACAAGATACAAAACAAATCTTTTTTTAAATACATTCACTACTTTTTATGTTTATTATATTATATATACGGTTGCTTCCAAAAGTTTGAGTCCACTTACTATGTTTTTATTATAAATTTCAACTTTAACAATTTTTA